AACTTGCAAGATCTCTGCCTGGAAGCGCAGCCGGTCGATTTCCTCGAGTGGTTGAATAAGGAAGAAGACGGGGAAAGCCAGTTCGAGGTGCTGTTCCCCGCACTCATCAAGCTCGCTCTCTACGACGTGGATCTCGAGGAAATCGTGACGGTCTTATCGCCCGGATCTACTTCCACCAGTAGGGAGCAGACGCCGGATCACGAAGCACAGTCTCATGAAGTCTTATCCGATACGACGGTCAACACACCTAGTCCTATCGCCGCGCTCTCCCGACTCGAATTGGATAAGGACGACGATCCTCTACCGGACGAGATACGGCTCCGTGATCTTGTCTGTTGGCGCATGCTTTGGCAAGCAGATAACGGCGTGTCCCCTGCGACGCTCGAACTGTATGGGGGCAAGATCGGCAAAGCAGCTTTGCGTGATATGCAGAAGGTTATGAATGGTTTGAATGTAACTGTAGACTATCGTAGAGAGATTGACGACGCTGACTACGAGAGTTGGTATATTTAATAGATAGCCTTAGCTTTCATTGTTACACCTATCTTTATACGATGAACGTCGCCGATGATCTGGATGCACCAAGCAGGATTCAGACTGCAAGACGATTGGACTGCTGTCCTGGGAAAGCACGTTCGGACGCCTCGTGGTAACCATTGACCAATCGAAAGGGAAGCTGTCCCAAACCACCAACTCTGTCCGACAAGTCTTTCCCTCGTCATTTGAAGACCGGCTACATCGTCTGGCAAGACATCGTCGAACTGTCGTTATGTCGTAAGCTTCACAACGTCTATGACGCGTCGCGTTGGCGATCTGAAGAAAGCTCGCCTGTACATAGTGAGCCATACGTGAGCGACGATGACTGGTTGACGCGTCATGTCGCTTCCATCTCGTGGAACATGAAGACGCCCTCGTACACTGCCCAGCTGAAAGCAAAACGATCTACGAATCACTGTCAGATGAGCGAGTCGCCAGTCGGCCAGCGAGCGTGCTTCGTGAACAACCTCCCCGCTGAACTACTCATCAAGATCTTCTGTTATCTTCCTTGGGACAGGGATAATCTCGCGGAGAACGGACTGCTGTGGAACTGGGTCGATATCACGCGTGTCTGTAGGCTATGGCAGGAGACAGCCTATCTTAGCGCGGAGTTCTGGTCTCGCGTGCCGCTGCAGAGCGCCCACACCGTCGCACGATCGCTACAATTGGCGGGAGACGTGCCTTTGCGGCTCTTTGCAGACTTTAAGAAGCCGTGGAAGACCAAAGACGCACTTGCTCTCGCTCTCGCTCACCTACCCCGCATCATTGAACTTTCCATCACCGGAACCACTGTCCTATCCAGCGGCTGGTGGTACGTCGCCAGATGCCTTTGTGCACGAAAGGCCACCAATCTACGATGCCTTACGATGCAATTCGACGGGCATGGAGGCGGCTATGGAGACTTCCCTGGGTTTTCCCTCTTCAACTGTGTCCCTGCACCCACGTTGCAGTCACTCGAGCTTTCCGGGTTCGCGTTACCCTGGGCCGAGGAATGCTGGACGTTTCTGGTCCCTTCGCTCACTCACCTCACGCTCGAAAACTGCGATCTCGAGTATCATTGGAGCACCATAGAGGCTACAGAGGATCCCGAAGAACCCACCGTCGAGGCTGCAGAGCAGTCGATGTTTGACGCGTTGAGCAATCTGCCACTTCTGCAAGTACTTTCTATAACCAACTGCAAGATGCCTCTTGATCTGGATGCAAACGAATTCACATCGCCCATACAACCGTTGGCCTACCCCCATCTACACAGTCTTACTCTCGACGCGACTGTGCGCGCGATCACCCGCCTGCTAGGCAATATGACTATTCCACCCACGACGTCGTTGGATGTCTCCTACCATCATGCTCCCTACCTCAGTCTCAGGGAAAGCTCGTCCGAGTTCGTCAACACGATGTTGTTCTTTGAGCGTCATTTCGGTGCGCACACCGCGAGCGGTGCACAATATTCACAGGCACGCGTGAGGTTCGATAATAACAAAACCCTGTCTCGAGAGGACTCGATTCGAGAAGTGATCTATGCCTACTGTGCCCCCACCGACGGCAAAGGCCTCTCTCTTCCTGCGCAGACAACGATCAAGCACCTTTGGTTCGGAGACTGCGATATGGAGATTCACGACTACGCACTCTTCGCCGAGTCCATTTGCGCGCGCATCCCATGCAACTCAACCGACACCTCCCTAGAAATCACTCAGCTTGGACGCATCAACTTTGACCATATGTTCTACATGTACGACGCATGGTACGACGGCCCATTCGACATGGATCGGGTGCGGGACTTGACCCTAATCATCGACGGCTTCCAAGTATGCCAGTTGCTGCTGCATCGCATCGATCAACCGCTTCCTTTGTTAACGTCTATCAAATTGAAGAGCTGCGATATCGAAGGTCCGAGACTGAAGCATTTCGAGGACCTTCTGAGGAAGCGCACTGCGCTCACAATCTGCGCGATGGATTGCTTCGTCGATAAGGGCGTCAAGATGCAGCTTGACGAGGAGTTCGGGGAACGGCTCCGCTGGGAGCATCCGATGTTCATGATGAGAGGGGATTCGCGAGAGGAAAGCACGAGGCAGTAAAGTGCGGTGATGCGCGAAGGCGTCGCATGTCCGCGCTATTCGCCACCTCGGGGAGGCCCTCGGGATCATGTTCCGGACACCGAAACTGTAGAGTACCCTTGAAACCCTGGCAAACGAGTTGCGCTGGCCCATACATGTATACGATAATCGTGATTGAATACAAGATAAAGCATCTACATGAGCGCGCACTAGATTCTATAAGATCAGGCCTATATCATTCTCGGGTATACCCGTCCCAGAAGCCCTCCCATGGCGACAGCCTCCTTACCGGCCCCATCTCCGGTCCACCGCGCAATATATCCTGACTCTGAACGAGCCTCAACTCCCGCCCACTCATCCGACGTATCCTGCGCACAGGATCCTCAGCATCGCGTTCATCGTCCGTCGCCTGACGATCCTCTTCCGGTAACGACTCGGCGTAGTCGTACGTGCGTTGCAGTATCGTGTGTGTCTTCGTGATAGCGAGTTCGACGGCCGACACGAGGGGTTCTGCTCCAGATAGACTTGTATCGTAGTGACCGAGGATCAGAGCAGAGAAGAGGTCGCCGACACCCGAGAAGTAGCCGCGTATAAGCGGGACGCAGACGGAGTGTACTGATGACTCGATGTCTTGGCCGGGTACTCGACTGGATGTCATGCACAGAAGCTGGTCCTCTACGTCTTCGTTTGTAGGTATAGGGTGGTCGTTCGCGGGAAGGATGCCGCGGAGCCATTGCTTGAGAGGTATTGAGCTGATGACCACGTGTGGTACTTGGTACTTGTGGTGTAGGATGTCGAGAACTTTGTGTAATGAAGCTGTATCTTCTATCTTGACGTCTGTAAGCACTCTGCAGTGATGGGTCAGCCACTTGTAGTATATAGAGAGGTGGCCCTATCTTACTCGGCTTCGAACCAGTTTGGTGTAATAATAGACGCGCGAGGAAGCATCAACCTATAGACGGGAATCACATCCGCAGCAACGTAGAGACGGCCAGCGTCTCCGATGACAGCTGTAACAGGCGTTGGTAAGTAGACACTTGCGTATCTGAAGAGGTATGCTTACGGTCCAAGAGGTATAATAGGTTGGGTTTAGCCTTACAAAGCTTCTCGGAGAGGTCTGCGACGGCGGAAAGGCCTTCCGCTCCAGGTATGTAGCCTATGAAGAGTCTTAGACCACCACATAGTGTCAAGAGACAAATGTTCTTTACCGGTGAGTAGGCGAGCAGGTTTGAGGAAGCCATTGTCCTCCATGATGGAAAACATATTGGCTAGTTCGGCCGCAGTAGCCTTGGTTCCTCCGGCGCGGTGATATCCTACCAACCCACGATTAGGACAATTGTGCACAATGAATGCCCTTGATCATCTCACCGGCATGATTGGAGAAGTTGACGGTGTTCACAACCTTCTCCACGCATCAAACAGAGTCCAGCCCAGCCTCGACAGAAGCACGCACATCGACGTCGTATCCGAGAAGCTGCAGTGGGAACACGGCAGCTTTCCCCCCGACGTAGCCGTACGCGACATGCGACTGGATGCTGAGCACACGTTCTGTTCGCGGTGGCGCCATCGTATCAACCTCGTACGAGTACCTCGAAGGGAAAAGACAAAGTCGCCAAAAGAGCCGAGTCAAATCGTGGCATGACACGCACGATCCGATCGCCGAAACAAGGCACGCGCTTTGCAGGCGCGCGCTTGTGCCGTTGACGCGTTTGGCGCGCGCGCGTCAGACGTTGTGCACGCACTTGCTCTCGACCTTCATGGACGGTTCAAGGTGCGGAGCTATCCCAAGTATCCACCAAGATAATACTGAAGGTGTATAAGCCTGCGAAAGTCATGGTATAACGCGCTCGACGATGCGCAGGTCACATTCCGGCGTCATCTCCAGTCCGCCTCTTCCTCTGAATGGAAGCGCGTCCCCGTACCTGTACCAGCGGAGCCTTCCATACGATCCAAAGGGAAAAGCAGATCAATACTTCCCGAACTCACTGATGTGCACGTACATCGCAAGGCCGGCAAGAGCGAAGAGGCTACTTGGCGCTGTGTACTCGAGCTACCTACCGGCTCAGATTCGCTCTCATTGGATGCCTGGAAATCTGTACTGTCTACTCCCGAACTACGTAGGGAATGGGATCCGGCAGTGGAGAGCGCGCAACTCGTGGAAATGTTTGACCCCTCGACGCGTGTGGCGAAGACAATGTTTACTCTGGGGTGGCCTGCAAGGTACGTCATCTGCTCAACTTTCCAGCGTAAGCCCGGCTCGTGTGGCTATATGAACATCATAATCCCATTAATCCCTCACACAAAATTCATCTTGCATGGCTGAATTAGCCCTCTCGAACACATACTAATGATATCCACGCAGCCCACGCGATGCCGTGACAATCTCGCGCACGTTCAACGATGCAAACACGGTCATCGACATATCGACTTCTCTACCCCGCTCTCCGGACGAGCCAACCTATCTACGACCCAATCCACCGTATGTTCGCTCGCACGTCAAACGTATGTCGCCTCACAATGTTTGCATGCCCTGCTTGATGGTCATCAGTCTTCGGATGGTGTATACAGCACATCTCTCCCAACGGGACTGGAGATGAGACCGCTTCGATGCGCACTGCGGTTCCCTCCCGCTTACGCATCACCTGCTTCTGGCAACACGACCTACGCGCGATGTTCAACTTCGGCTCGAATGCGAGTATGGCGCAGCAACTGGCATCAATGGTGCTCGGACTGTTCAAGACCGTGCTTAAGCGCCGCGCTCGGGTGCCGATCCTAACGGGATATGGCAACGGCGTTTCCATCGAGCGAAGCCGCTTCGACATCGACCGAGAGGCGCTTATTTTGAACTACTCCATCATTCCCGAAGACGAGGACCATTCAACACCGGCGGCAGAAGCAGGACTAGAAGATCTGCATGCCCTACGCGAGCATCGGCGTCTGACCCGCGCTGTAGAGTTCAGCGTCCCTATCACCGAAGGCTGGGACATCCAGATCCACACGTCCGCCTCTTCTTCTGAGGTTGCGCAACTACCCTGGACAGCACGAGCGTTCCGTAGTAGCGATCTTCCCACGCCCTCTACATCGACTGCCGAGGACCCGTTCGCAGATCGACAGGATGTCACGCTCTGCGTCAGCCATGCAGAATTGCCAGACCATCATTCGATCCTCAAAGTCTCGGTGACGATCGAGCTCTCCGGTCCCTCTAGCGGGCTGAGGCTGAACGGCATCCCGCATCCGGTCGAAATGGTGGAGGAGCGGACGCCACAGTCGTACTTCATGTCGCAATCCATGCTCCAGGATGCGACGAGCACCGCAGATATGAGCTTCCGCACGGCATCTTCGACCGCCACGAGTGGGAGTGGATCTATAGGTTCGGGATCACAAACCCCTATTCGTCCATCTCTTGGTCGTACGCTCACCAACCGGGGCGTCGCGATGGAGAAGTCGATCCTCAGCCGCGTGAGGCGTAACTACATCTACTTTTCGTCGCTATTGCAGGAGCCCGAGGCCAAATGGAGACGAAGTACGTTTCTGCATAGCATCACTGTCGTCGCGTTTCATCTGATGTTCGCAATAGCAACGGAAGCGCGCGGGGTCTCTATCACGCAGCTCGACTCCATTGACCCGACACTAGTCGTTTATCGTGCAGAAGCTACCTTTGTCGGTCTTGGGATCTGGGATCTTTTTGCCGCCATCAACTCTCCTGGAGTGCGAGCCTACTGGGATAAGCAGCACGAAGGCGCAACGCTACTTGAGGATGTTAACGAGCTCTCCGAGTTGTGGCACCACAAGTTCAAACCGGCGTGGCCTATCAGGTACACATGATACTCATTGCATTGCGAACTATCGCACTGATATGTATGTAGTGCGCGCGATGCTGTCCTACTCAAGACCGTCTACAAATCACCAAACACAGTCCACGTCTTCTCATTCTCCGCAGACGACCCAAACCTCTTCCCAAACATCCCTCCACCAGATCCAGCCGCCATCCGTATGCAAGTTGACCTACAAGGCATCGCCATCGAAGCACTCTCTCCCACCACAACCCAACTCGTCTTCCTCGAGCAGAGCGACCCGAAGGGCTGGACAAACAAGACTTCCATACCCCAACAGATGATCTCCGCACTAGCCGGAGTCGGCGAGTTCACTATCCGCTGTGGTGGTCCACCGATGGCAACACGGCTGGCTGGAGCCAAGATGAACGACGTGAAGTACGACCACGAACGAGGCCAGTTCAAGATCGAGTACGAGGTTGCCGATTCGAGGCGGCCGAGTACGACAGATGCCAGTGACGGTGCAGATGCGGACGCAGTAGCGTCAAGCGCCACCAACCCGCTCGTTGAACTCGAGCTGCGCTGCGACATCGACACATGGGCTCAATCGCTTGATATAGTGGTTGACCCGCCACCGCAGGGTATACTGTGTTTCCGCCGACATCGACTGAGCGCTGGCGGAGGTGGTCTGTGGTTGACGCTCACACATGATGCGGTGCTTGCGGGCGACGAGCGCTTGATGGCGGTCGTGAGACGCGCGCCCGGTCGCGAGCGAGGCGTGGTGATGGTGAACGGAGCGCGCGTAACCGTTGATGTGGAGGAGTTGCCGGAGGCGGAGATCAAGAGCCTGAGCAAGCAGAAGCGCGTCAAGCCCGCGCGTATCCCGCTCGATCAACCTCCCGTCCTCGGCGTCATTCGCCAACGACGTTTCGATGAAGAGCCCGACAAAGAGGGAGCGGCGGGCAAGCCACCATCTTCACCCACTTCATCCTCGCCGCTCGCGAAGGACGTACCCTCGGCGATCAATACTGTCAAGGCGAATGGCGCGGGTACTTGGGCTGCCCCGCGCTTCCCGAGTCCGCTCGGGCGTTACTTCACCTTCGCAGCGGAACAGACTCAGCAGGCCGTCGCGGCCATCTCTCCAACTGCGAGCGGTGACGATGGACCACCTCCTGAACGCGCGCCGATGCAAGCAGCACTCGAAGCTCTATCTTTTGTCCGCGACGCCTACGCTAAGCCCGCAGCTGAAGCGGATGGATGGGCACCGGTACCTACAAAGGGCATGACCGTCTTGAAGAGGCTTGAACCGTCGCTCGGTAGCGCGGTACCCGTACATCGCGGCGAGAAGGTCATCGAGGGGTTCAGCGCAGGCGAACTCGCAGGCATCCTCAGCTCCTACGACCTTCGGAAGACCTGGGACGACCGCTTCGCCGGAGCCGAAGTCCTTCAAGCCTTCGGAGCCGGAGCACACACCGCCTTCGTCACCGCGCGCGCCGCCTTCCCCTTCCGCGACCGCGGCTTCCTCCTCGGCACACTCGTAGCAGCCGACGCAGACGCCAACAGCGAGCGCCCGCCCCTCTTCATCGTATCCGCAAGCTGCCACCCCGACGCCCTCCCCGGCTTCCTCCCCACGAAATACAATCCCTACAACCTCCCGCTCGGCCGCATGCTCGTCGACGCCTGGGTCCTCGAAACGCTCGACCCCTACGGGCCCGAGAACTACGCCATCCCCTCCACGCGCGTCACGCGCTTCGCCGCCGCCGATCTCGCGGGGAGCATACCCGCGGCCGTAAACTCCTTGCACGTCGCCGCGCTCGCACGACAACCCTTATCTCTCGAGACCGCAGCAAGGGTGCTTGTGGCGCCGCCGCCTGTGTCGCGATGGCCGGCGGCGTGCGTGGCGTTCGTTGATCGGAGACTGGAGGCGCCTGCGCAGGCGCTTGCGAGCTGGAGCGTGAGGAGGAGGGATAATGAGCGGGTGTTGGTGGGGGAGAAGTATGTCAAGGGCGATAAGACGTATGATGCGGTTTTCTTGCTCAGTTTGCCGGGGGATGGCGTGAGTGCAGGATCAAGGAATAAGTCGCCTGATCCGAGTAGGCGCGCGCCGGTTGTTGAGGCGAAGGAGAAGGAGGATGAGGATGGGCCGCCTACTGCGAGGCCTGTTATGGGACGACAACATAGCGCGAGCGTGTCGAGCGTTATGAGCGGTGGAGGGCGACATTCGCGGTCGTCGACGGGTCCGGGCGAGAGGACGTTGCGCGCTGTGGCGAGTACGAGCGCCTTTACGAGGAGCGGGGAGGTGAAGACGCAGAGCGATATGCTTGTTGCGGAGGTCGTCGTTGATGCGAGGTTGTATCCCGAGGGATACGAGATTGTGTTGAGGTCACGGGTGCTTGCTTCTAAGGACAATGGAAAGGGGAAAGGCAAGGCGGTTGAGCAGGAGATCATCGCGCTCGGTGAAGTGATTGGTGCGGACGACCGCGCGCTGCCGCTCGCATACGCTGTGCATACACTACCGGAGACTCCACTTCACGCAGCGGGTGCACCTCGTCACCTCGTCCGCCTATCACTTCCTACCGCAGGATTCTCGGCGCAGATCGGTACAGTGACGGATCCGTTAACTGGAGAGACGCGCGCTCCTGCGCCAATGCCGAAGTGGGCGGAGGAAATGCGGGATCGGGGCGCTATTGTGAAGGTAGAGGTTCGGCCGAAGAGTGATGGAGAGAAAGGGAAGGAAGGCGATGTTTGGGTGGACGGGACGAAAGTAGGTGTTGTGGGCGAGAAGGAGAGTTTGACAAAGTTGGGGAGGGAGGAGCTGCTTGACGAGCGTGCGGGGAAGATGACGGTCTTTACGAGGTGGGATTGCGTGGTTTTGGCGATGATCGCGTTGTGCAGTAAGCGCTAACACCGTTCGATAGGCATTCAAGCGAAGAGGAGGAGCTGCCCCGAACGCTCCTCGTCCCGCTCGCGCATACAATCTCGATGCGTGATCCCGAAGCGGATGTCCGGCCCGCTTCCGCCGAGGATATAGCGACCGAAGGCGAGGAAGCAGGCAGCGTTCTCGAGGACGGTAGTGAGGCTGTGAGTTGACACACTTCTATCTACGGATATTTCATGGAAGTGGCAACTGATTATCGCGCTTCATAGAAGGAAGGATCGACCGAAGACACGCCGCCTGCGCCGCACCCACCTCCAGCACGCACGCAAAGCGGGCTGTTTGGCTTCCTGGGTGCATATCCCAATATGCTTACACGCGTAAAGTCAAAGTCAACGCTGTCGTTCACCACGGCCACGCCGGGGACTGCCACGCCCTCGTCTTCGTCTTCGCATCTACCGCTCGCTCCCCCGCCAGCTCCGCTGCCGCTGTTGCAGAGGAGATACGAGTTCAAGACTGTATTGCTCGTCGCGCTGCTCGCGTTCTTGATCGGAAGTCTGTTGAGGAGCCTGATCAGCCCTGCAGACTTTGTGTATGATGTTGGTGTGGAAGAAGATGGGAGGCGAGAAGAAGGATGGCGGGAGATTAAACGCCTGTTCGAACTCAAGGGCGTCGTTGGCGGATGGGACTTTCAGGTCGCTGTCATCCGAAGGCATTAACGTCGGTGGCGGCCACGATACATTGTTGATACCGTATCTTTGTTCTCTTTCCGGATGATCGTTGCATGTTTCAGTCGTTGTGTGTCTGTTTTCGGTGCTGTTTGCTGTGCTCTAACATACGCCACCCGCCTCGCACGTAGCACGTGTAGTGTAGTAATACCATACTGTCCACTTGTAGCGGTGTCAGCAGGCGCCGAGGCTGCGCTGAAGCGGCGCTCAGCACGATGATCGAGGGGGATCTTTGGTTCCGATCCACGTGTAGCCGGCGGAAGGCTGTCTGAATTACATCGGTCGGCAAGTCGTTTAATGCTGCGGGATCTGAGCGTACCCCGCGCCTTGTCTCGCATCCCCGTTCGACGAACTTCACCCAAACCATCCTTTCGCGGACAGACCGCGCCCGGAGCAGCAGGGAAGCCCCCATCGGCGCGCGCCTTCGCCTTCGCTTCGTTGATCGACACCGGCGGCACGTGGGCCTTGGGCCGAAGCCGTACCCACGCTCTGACCAGTGACAGCTCTCGAAGCGCTCACAGCCTGCATCCCTCGCACTCCCGCCCACCC